GTCAAAAGAAAAACCCAGATCTGGGGGGACACAACCAAGCATTGGCAGCCCTGATATCGACCTCACTGTCTTGTTTGATTCGTGACTTTTTCCGCTTGTTGTTGTCAATGCGGCCAAGGGAGAGAACTCCCACTAAGCTGACCTAAGCCGTCCAGATAGCGTCCAAAGGTGCTAGGAGAGCCCAATTTTTTTTTGAAGCTCCACCCTGGCTCTTTGCCAGGAGCCGCAAAATAGCCCGGCCATTAATATGGCTTAATGGCTGAACGCGGTTTCTGGGACCTCTTTGCGGGTGATCCTCATCCACATGGTGGCACATTGTGTCATCAGGTGTTTATCGCTTGTGTGATGTCCTGATAGGGTAAAAGTACTACTACTAAAAGCAAGAGGCAGACCTTAACAATAGCAAAGCTAGAGCTGCTACAATAAGAGACACAGAAGCTAATAATCTAGGAGGTGAATATGGCAGATAAAAGGAAATAGTCAGATGATCTAATGGAAGAAGCGGAGGCAGCAAAAGAAAGAAAGAAAAAAAACTAGAAATGTTTACAGTCATCCTCATCATCATCATGCAGGTTTACTTTTTACCCTGTGTAATGTAGAGTGTTGACCAGATCCCTCAGTCACTTCCAGCTATTGTGTGTGTGTGTAATGTAGAGTGTTGACCAGATCCCTCAGTCACTCCCAGCTATTGTGTGTGTGTGTGTGTGTGTAATGTAGAGTGTTGACCAGATCCCTTGGTCACTCCCAGCTATTGTGTGTGTGTAATGTAGAGTGTTGACCAGATCCCTCAGTCACTCACAGTTATTGTGTGTGTGTGTGTAATGTAAAGTGTCGACCAGATCCCTTGGTCACTCCCAGCTGTTGTGTGTGTGTGTGGGTGTAATGTAGAGTGTCGACCAGATCCCTTGGTCACTCCCAGCTATTGTGTGTGTTTGTGTGTGTAATGTAGAGTGTCGACCAGATTCCTCAGTCACTCCCAGCTATTGTGTGTGTGTGTAATGAAGAGTGTCGACCAGATCCCTTGGTCACTCCCAGCTATTGTGTGTGTGTGTGTAATTTAGAGTGTCGACCAGATCCCTTGGTCACTCCCAGCTATTGTGTGTGTGTGTGTAATGTAGAGTGTCGACCAGATCCCTTGGTCACTCCCAGCTATTGTGTGTGTTTGTGTGTGTAATGTAGAGTGTCGACCAGATCCCTTGGTCACTCCCAGCTATTGTGTGTGTGTAATGTAGAGTGTCGAACAGATCCCTTGGTAACTCCCAGCTATTGTGTGTGTGTGTAATGTAGAGTGTCGACCAGATCCCTTGGTCACTTCCAGCTATTGTGTGTGTGTGTTTGTGTGTGTAATGTAGAGTGTCGACCAGATCCCTTGGTCACTCCCAGCTATTGTGTGTGTGTGTGTGTGTGTGTAATGTAGAGTGTCGACCAGATCCCTTGGTCACTCCCAGCTATTTGTGTGTGTAATGTAGAGTGTCGACCAGATCCCTTGGTCACTCCCAGCTATTGTGTGTGTGTGTGTAATGTAGAGTGTCGACCAGATCCTTTGGTCACTCCCAGCTATTGTGTGTATGTGTGTAATGTAGATTGTCGACCAGATCCCTTGGTCACTCCCAGCTACTGTGTGTGTGTGTGTGTGTGTGTGTAATGTAGAGTGTCAACCAGATACCTTGGTCACTCCCAGGTGTTGTGTGTGTAGTGTAGAGTGTCGACCAGATCCCTTGGTCACTCCCAGCTGTTGTGTGTGTGTGTGTGTGTGTGTAATGTAGAGTGTTGACCAGATCCCTTGGTAACTCCCAGCTATTGTGTGTGTGTGTAATGTAGAGTGTTGACCAGATCCCTTGGTAACTCCCAGCTATTGTGTGTGTGTGTGTGTGTGTAATGTATAGTGTTGACCAGATCCCTTGGTAACTCCCAGCTATTGTGTGTGTGTGTAATGTAGAGTGTTGACAAGATCCCTTGGTAACTCCCAGCTATTGTGTGTGTGTGTGTGTGTAATGTAGAGTGTCGACCAGATCTCTTGGTCACTTCCAGCTATTGTGTGTGTGTGTTTGTGTGTGTAATGTAGAGTGTCGACCAGATCCCTTGGTCACTCCTAGCTATTGTGTGTGTGTGTGTGTGTAATGTAGAGTGTCGACCAGATCCCTTGGTCACTCCCAGCTATTGTGTGTGTAATGTAGAGTGTCAACCAGATCCCTTGGTCACTCCCAGCTATTGTGTTTGTGTGTGTAATGTAAAGTGTCGACCAGAACCCTTGGTCACTCCCAGCTATTGTGTGTGTGTGTGTAATGTAGAGTGTCGACCAGATCCTTTGGTCACTCCCAGCTACTGTGTGTGTGTGTGTGTGTTTGTAATGTAGAGTGTCGACCAGATACCTTGGTCACTCCCAGCTGTTGTGTGTGTAATTTAGAGTGTCGACCAGATCCCTTGGTCACTCCCAGCTATTGTGTGTGTGTGTGTGTAATGTAGAGTGTTGACCAGATACCTTGGTAACTCCCAGCTATTGTGTGTGTGTGTGTGTGTAATGTAGAGTGTGGACCAGATCCCTTGGTCACTTCCAGCTATTGTGTGTTTGTGTGTGTAATGTAGAGTGTCGACCAGATCCCTTGGTCACTCCCAGCTATTGTGTGTGTGTAATGTAGAGTGTCGACCAGATCCCTTGGTCACTCCCAGCTATTGTGTGTGTAATGTAGAGTGTCGACCAGATCCCTTGGTCACTCCCAGCTATTGTGTTTGTGTGTGTAATGTAGAGTGTCGACCAGATCCCTTGGTCACTCCCAGCTATTGTGTGTGTGTGTGTAATGTAGAGTGTCGACCAGATCCCTTGGTCACTCCCAGCTACTGTGTGTGTGTGTGTAATGTAGAGTGTCGACCAGATACCTTGGTCACTCCCAGCTGTGGTGTGTGTAATGTAGAGTGTCGACCAGATCCCTTGGTCACTCCCAGCTATTGTGTGTGTGTGTGTGTAATGTAGAGTGTTGACCAGATCCCTTGGTCACTCCCAGCTATTGTGTGTGTGTGTGTGTAATGTAGAGTGTTGACCAGATCCCTTGGTCACTCCCAGCTACTGTGTGTGTGTGTGTGTGTAATGTAGAGTGTCGACCAGATCCCTTGGTCACTCCCAGCTATTGTGTGTGTAATGTAGAGTGTCGAACAGATCCCTTGGTCACTCCCAGCTATTGTGTGTGTGTGTGTATATGTGTGTAATGTAGAGTGTCGACCAGATCCCTTGGTCACTCCTAGCTATTGTGTGTGTGTGTGTGTAATGTAGAGTGTCGAACAGATCCCTTGGTCACTCCCAGCTATTGTGTGTGTGTGTGTGTGTAATGTAGAGTGTCGACCAGATCCCTTGGTCACTCCCAGCTATTGTGTGTGTTTGTGCGTGTAATGTAGAGTGTCGACCAGATCCCTTGGTCACTCCCAGCTATTGTGTGTGTGTGTAATGTAGAGTGTCGACCAGATCCCTTGGTCACTCCCAGCTATTGTGTGTGTGTGTGTAATGTAGAGTGTCGAACAGATCCCTTGGTTATTTCAAGCTATTGTGTGTGTGTGTGTAATGTAGAGTGTTGACCAGATCCCTTGGTCACTCCCAGCTATTGTGTGTGTGTGTAATGTAGAGTGTCGACCAGATCCCTTGGTCACTCCCAGCTATTGTGTGTGTGTGTGTGTAATGTAGAGTGTCGACCAGATCCCTTGGTCACTCCCAGCTATTGTGTGTTGTGTGTGTGTAATGTAGAGTGTCGACCAGATCCCTTGGTCACTCCCAGCTGTTGTGTGTGTGTGTGTGTAATGTAGAGTGTCGACCAGATCCCTTGGTCACTCCCAGCTATTGTGTGTGTGTGTGTGTGTGTGTAATGTAGAGTGTCGACCAGATCCCTTGGTCACTCCCAGCTATTGTGTGTGTTTGTGCGTGTAATGTAGAGTGTCGACCAGATCCCTTGGTCACTCCCAGCTATTGTGTGTGTGTGTAATGTAGAGTGTCGACCAGATCCCTTGGTCACTCCCAGCTATTGTGTGTGTGTGTGTGTAATGTAGAGTGTCGAACAGATCCCTTGGTTACTTCAAGCTATTGTGTGTGTGTGTAATGTAGAGTGTTGACCAGATCCCTTGGTCACTCCCAGCTATTGTGTGTGTGTGTGTGTAATGTAGAGTGTCGACCAGATCCCTTGGTCACTCCCAGCTATTGTGTGTGTGTGTGTAATGTAGAGTGTCGACCAGATCCCTTGGTCACTCCCGCTATTGTGTGTATGTGTGTGTAATGTAGAGTTTCGACCAGATCCCTTGGTCACTCCCAGCTATTGTGTGTGTGTGTAATGTAGAGTGTCGAACAGATCCCTTGGTTACTCCAAGCTATTGTGTGTGTGTGTAATGTAGAGTGTTGACCAGATCCCTTGGTCACTCCCAGCTATTGTGTGTGTGTTTGTAATGTAGATTGTTGACCAGATCCCTCAGTCACTCTCAGCTGTTGTTTGTGTGTGTAATGTAGAGTGTTGACCAGATCCCTTGGTCACTCCCAGCTATTGTGTGTGTGTGTAATGTAGTGTTGACCAGATCCCTCAGTCACTCCCAGCTGTTGTGTGTGTGTGTGTGTGTGTGTGTAATGTAGAGTGTCGACCATATTCCTTGGTCACTCCCAGCTGTTGTGTGTGTGTGTGTGTGTAATGTAGAGTGTCGACCAGATCCACACAGAATTTTGCTTATAGCACATATGCCAACACAAACTCTATTCCTTTTCAGTTCCAAGGTCAGCACTGAAGTTTCACGCAGAGAGAAATAGTTTCAGACAGACATATACATATAATCCCACAATCAAATTTACAACAACAAAAATACACAACAAATATTTTTGTTTTAAAAACCCCACAAAAATCTCAGCAATGTTCACCCAGAAAGTCTTGATGAAAATAACAAAGATTCCCAAGTAACACATACACTTGGCTCCCAACCAATTCATCAGTTGAGAACTCTTGAAAAACAGAACACAAAAGCATTTATGTTTATTTATGTATTCATGCCAGGTAGTCAACTTCTTAACGATGAATAATGCCATAAATGTTTGTAATTTATGTCACAGAAACATTGACATTATGCTGCATCTGCCATGCCATCCCAAGGAGTGGTTTCTGTTTGGTTTGTTCTGGCTGGGTGGAGTGTGGACAATCATTTATGAATGTTGCATTGTAGTCTGGTATTATCATCAGCACTGCAATTGGCTGGTGATAAGTCACATAGTCACGGTGACACTCTTGGCCTGTCTGATCTACTCCAACATGTATTTTCTTCTCAGCAAGGATGTGTCAGCGAGACAACTCAACAGATGCCAGGAAACTTGTCCCCCAGGATGGACGTTCTGTAAGCAGTGCCAGTTTCACGTGCCACCCCGATCACATCATTGTAAACTCTGCAACTTGTGTATTCTCAAGCGCGACCACCACTGCTGGTTTGCCGGTTACTGCATCGGGTTCAAGAACCATCGTTACTTCGTGTCCCTAGCCTTTTACATGAGTATTGCTGGCCTGTATGCCAACATTTACAACTGGCAGTTTGTCCTGAATGAGAAAGGGGGGTTTACCTGGACAACACTACCCTCGTTATTTGCACCCCATGTCGGCTTGATGCTTGGCTACTACTCCTTGTACGAGTTTGCTCTAACTGTCAACACATCCGTGGGTTTCTTCTTCACCATTTTCTTCGTGTGGATGTTTTGTGTCCAGGTGCTGCAGATCATCAGTGGCCAGGTGATGCATGAAAGAAAGAAAGGCATCCATGTTTATAATTTAGGCTTCAGGACAAATCTCCAAGAAGTCTTTGGTCCTAGAGGACTCATTTCCTTGCTGTGTCCATTTGTTCCAACACAGCTTGCAGGAGATGGTACAGAGTTTTCTAGTCACACACAGAAAACTGAGTGATGCTGCCGAGTGAGTTAACGGATGGATGTTGTAGTCAGTGGGTTGTTCAGGTGACATCCTAAATGGTTTGGTCAGATCAGTGATGAATGAATGGATACATATGATACAATTAGAGGCAGCATGTCATGATAAATCTCCTGTTTGCTTGATTATAGATGAGTAGAACAACCAAAGATTTGTCAGAACTGTTGGATGAGGTCCTGTACATGTGAGTGAAAATTTTTTGGGTTCTCTAGCATATACTTATTTGTGATACTTGTGAACAGACACCAGGAGAAAAAGACATTAGAAAGATCCTAGAGGTTGTCAACTTGTCATCTCAGGTGAGGATGTTGCCTCATGTGAACTGATTATCTCAGGTGATCTTCTTCTTCTTCTTTCGTTCGCCTAAAATAAGTTGTTTATATCAGCAATTTTGTCTCTTGTATAAATTTCACTATTGTTGTTAGTTCATTCAGTGGTCCATAGAGTCTACGTTCCACTGTTGTTCGTTCTGGCCAAAAGGTTTGCCTTAATGTATCAATTTCGGTGCAGTTCTGGAGTACATGCTCTGCTGTCTGGGGCACCTTTCTACAGGTGCACATGGCTGATACGCCTATCTTGAATTTTGTATACCTGTGGTTACGTAATCGGTTGGGCCGTGTTCTGAGGCGGAGGATAATGACTTATTCTGGTCTGACCATATCTCAGGTGATAATGTGCCATGCTGACGTGACTTGATCATCTCAGGTGATGTTGTTTCACTGTTGATAGATCAAGTGTGTGTGCCTCAAATTGAGCTTCCTCCCATACACAGTATCACCACAAACCTGTTCATTCACCCATTGTTCAATCGTCCATGCAGGTGTAGAGAGGAGGCAGGTGGGGTGTAGAGAGGAGGCAGGTGGGGTGTAGAGAGGAGCCAGGTGGGGTGTAGAGAGCCAGGTGGGGTGTAGAGAGGAGGCAGGTGGGGTGTAGAGAGGAGGCAGGTGGGGTGTAGAGAGGAGCCAGGTGGGGTGTAGAGAGGCGGCAGGTGGGGGTGTGTAGAGAGGAGGCAGGTGGGGTGTAGAGAGGAGGCAGGTGGGGTGTAGAGAGGAGGCAGGTGGGGTGTAGAGTGTAGGCAGGTGGGGTGTAGAGAGGAGGCAGGTGGGGTGTAGAGTGGAGGCAGGTGGGTGTAGAGAGGAGCCAGGTGGGGTGTAGAGAGCCAGGTGGGGTGTAGAGAGGAGGCAGGTGGGGTGTAGAGAGGAGGCAGGTGGGGTGTAGAGAGGAGCCAGGTGGGGTGTAGAGAGGCGGCAGGTGGGGTGTAGAGAGGAGCCAGGTGGGGTGTAGAGAAGAGGCAGGTGGGGTGTAGAGAGGAGGCAGGTGGGGTGTAGAGAGGAGGCAGGTGGGGTGTAGAGAGGAGGCAGGTGGGGTGTAGAGTGGAGGCAGGTGGGGTGTAGAGAGGAGCCAGGTGGGGTGTAGAGAGGAGCCAGGTGGGGTGTAGAGAGCCAGGTGGGGTGTAGAGAGGAGGCAGGTGGGGTGTAGAGAGGAGGCAGGTGGGGTGTAGAGAGGAGGCAGGTGGGGTGTAGAGAGAAGGCAGGTGGGGTGTAGAGAGGAGCCAGGTGGGGGTGTAGAGAGGAAGCCAGGTGGGGTGTAGAGAGGAGGCAGGTGGGGTGTAGAGAGGAGGCAGGTGGGGTGTAGAGAGGAGGCAGGTGGGGTGTTAGAGAGGAGGCAGGTGGGGTGTAGAGAGGAGCCAGGTGGGGTGTAGAGAGGAGGCAGGTGGGGTGTAGAGAGGAGGCAGGTGGGGTGTAGAGAGGAGGCAGGTGAAGTGTAGAGAGGAGGCAGGTGGGGTGTAGAGAGGAGGCAGGTGGGGTGTAGAGAGGAGGCAGGTGGGGTGTAGAGAGGAGGCAGGTGGGGTGTAGAGAGGAGCCAGGTGGGGTGTAGAGAGGAAGCTGGTGGGGTGTAGAGAGGAGCCAGGTGGGGTGTAGAGAGGAGGCTGGTGGGGTGTAGAGAGGAAGCTGGTGGGGTGTAGAGAGGAAGCTGGTGGGGTGTAGAGAGGAGGCAGGTGGGGTGTAGAGAGGAGGCTGGTGGGGTGTAGAGAGGAGGCAGGTGGGGTGTAGAGAGGAGGCAGGTGGGGTGTAGAGAGGAGGCTGGTGGGGTGTAGAGAGGAGGCTGGTGGTACAAAAGGCAGCAGGAGAATACAGCATCAGGCAGTGATGAACAATATTTGTTGTTTGTCTGAATGTTTCTCCCTCTCCCGAGAGCTTCGTATCTGACAAATTCATCTGTGTACAACTTCACAAATGACGTCATTTCAGCACCATTACATTCACTGAGATGAGCAACATGAGAGCACTGAGAAATGTTTACATTCTATGTTCTCCCAAGTGGTTGCAGACATTACATTCTATGTTCTCCCAAGTGGTTGCAGACATTACAATCCATGTTGTCTCATTTGGTTGCAGACATTATATGCAGACATAACATTCTGCATTCTCTCTAGTGATTTCAGACATTGGATTTTATGTTTTCTCAAGTGGTTCAGACATTATATTCTGTATTCTCTAAAGTGGTTGCTTATTGAAAGAAAAGGATGTTTGTTGTTACATGATTAACATTCCTGCTGCCATATAGATGTCTGTGTTTAAACATATGTTTTTTACCCACTATATACAATGCTATATTTTTACTTGTTTGTCACCTGACATTTACAACGTCGGCCATGTTATATGGATACAATATGGATGCTTTATAAATTGTATATATTTAAACAAACTGTAATAAAGATAATGTTCTAGAAAACTGTGTGTTTTGTATTCTTATTTTCAAAGAAATTATAAAGGGCTATTTTACTTGGAATGTAGACATAATGCATAGTCTCTGACCACTGGAGTTATGGGAAGTGGTCAAAAGTAAAGGTCAGAAGCCTAGATATGTAGTGTAAAGACACAGGTGTCACTAACCAGCTGTATCTCTGACACAGGTGTCACTAACCAGCTGGATCTCTGACACAGGTGTCACTAACCAGCTGTATCTCTGACACAGGTGTCACTAACCAGCTGTATCTCTGACACAGGTGTAACTAACCAGCTGTATCTCTGACACAGGTGTCACTAACCAGCTGTATCTCTGACACAGGTGTAACTAACCAGCTGTATCTCTGACACAGGTGTCACTAACCAGCTGTATCTCTGACACAGGTGTCACTAATCAGCTGTATCTCTGACACAGGTGTCTCTAACCAGCTGTATCTCTGACACAGGTGTCACTAACCAGCTGGATCTCTGACACAGGTGTCACTTATCAGCTGAATCTCTGACACAGGTGTCACTTATCAGCTGTATCTCTGACACAGGTGTCACTAAACAGCTGTATCTCTGACACAGGTGTCGCTAACCAGCTGTATATCTGACACAGGTGTCACTATCAGCTGTATATCTGATACAGGTGTCACTATCCAGCTGTATCTCTGACACAGGTGTCACTAACCAGCTGTATCTCTGACACAGATGTCACTAACCAGCTGTATCTCTGACACAGGTGTTACTATCAGATGTATCTCTGATACTGGTGTCACTATCAGCTGTATCTCTGACACAGGTGTTACTATCAGTTGTATCTCTGACACAGATGTCACTTATCAGCTGTATCTCTGACACAGGTGTCACTAGTCAGCTGTATCTCTGACACAGGTGTCACTCATCAGCTGTATCTCTGACACAGGTGTCACTAACCAGCTGTATCTCTGACACAGGTGTCACTATCAGCTGTATATCTGATACAGGTGTCACTATCCAGCTGTATCTCTGACACAGGTGTCACTAACCAGCTGTATCTCTGACACAGATGTCACTAACCAGCTGTATCTCTGACACAGGTGTTACTATCAGCTGTATCTCTGACACAGGTGTCACTTATCAGCTGTATCTCTGACACAGGTGTCACTAGACAGCTGTATCTCTGACACAGGTGTCACTAGTCAGCTGTATCTCTGACACAGGTGTCACTAACTAGCTGTATCTCTGACACAGCTGTCACTAACCAGCTGTATCTCTGACACAGGTGTCACTAACCAGCTGTATCTCTGACACTGGTGTCACTCATCAGCTGTATCTCTGACACAGGTGTCACTAACCAGCTGTATCTCTGACACAGGTGTCACTGTCAGCTGTACCTCTGATACAGGTGTCACTCTCAGCTGTATCTCTGACACAGGTGTCACTAACCAGCTGTATCTCTGACACAGGTGTCACTACCCAGCTGTATCTCTGACACAGGTGTCACTATCAGCTGTACCTCTGATACAGGTGTCACTCTCAGCTGTATCTCTGACACAGGTGTCACTAACCAGCTGTATCTCTGACACAGGTGTCACTAACCAGCTGTATCTCTGACACAGGTGTCACTATCAACTGTATCTCTGACACAGGTGTCACTATCAGATGTATCACTAATACAGGTGTCACTCTCAGCTGTATCTCTGACACAGGTGTCACTCTCAGCTGTATCTCTGACACAGGTGTCACTCTCAGCTGTATCTCTGACACAGGTGTCACTATCAGCTGTATCTCTGATACAGGTGTCACTCTCAGCTGTATCTCTGATACAGGTGTCACTAACCAGCTGTATCTCTGACACAGGTGTCACTAACCAGCTGTATCTCTGACACAGGTGTCACTATCAACTGTATCTCTGATACAGGTGTCACTCTCAGCTGTATCTCTGATACAGGTGTCACTCTCAGCTGTATCTCTGATACAGGTGTCACTAACCAGCTGTATCTCTGATACAGGTGTCACTCTCAGCTGTATCTCTGACACAGGTGTCACTCTCAGCTGTATCTCTGATACAGGTGTCACTAACCAGCTGTATCTCTGATACAGGTGTCACTCTCAGCTGTATCTCTGACACAGGTGTCACTAACCAGCTGTATCTCTGATACAGGTGTCACTCTCAGCTGTATCTCTGACACAGGTGTGACTAACCAGCTGTATCTTTGATACAGGTGTCACTCTCAGCTGTATCTCTGACACAGGTGTCAC